ACACAGATGACGTCTTTGAAACATAGAGTAAGCTGGCTCTCATTAGTTTGGAAATCATTCTGCAGCAATCCCTCGCATCGAACACCTGCGTCAATGAGGCATATAATCATAAATTTTGCATTGGTGTAGTCTTCTGCGATGCAGTTTGCATTGATTTGAGTATAAATACAATTTTCAGCATAAATTTACACGGAAACAAAACTTACAGCATAAATTTTCTGATTGTTTATTTAAAGGAAAATGGCAAAGGAAACAAGCACTATCTCTCTCAGGCGGGATGCCTCTGTGGAGTTTTTAACGAAAATTGCTTTATATTCGCATTATACATAGGATAAGCTGAAAAAGTCTCATGCTACAAGCCGGTTGTTCTTAGAGCCGAACCTGTCACGAATATCGATTGTCCACTCGGTCAATAGCGGGCATTTATCGGGGAAATCTCTTAGCAGTGGAAAGTATTTACAATGGAAAAATTCCGAAAAAAAAAATTTTTTTTTTGGTCTCTTTATTGTTCTTTCCATATTTTAATAAGAAACACGTGTTTGAAGTGCTACAATATATGTTTATACGAAACAGACAAAGCCGACATGTCATCATAATAAATATCTGAAGCATACTGAAGTTATCTTTCGAGAGGCTATAAAGGGATTTGGTATTATATTTTTAAACCACTTACTGTTCCTTCGCCAAAGTTGTAGCACTCATTTTATGATATCCTGATCTTCTAATTATGTTAAGCTTTGAAAGAGTACATTTATTGATACGTTTTTTCGAAAGGCATTTTTAAGATATCTTTTAATGTTCCTCTGGTCTACCAATGGCCGAGCGGTGAAGTCGTTAAACACTCGTAATACGACTTAGGTTCAATTCCAGCTGAACGGGCTGGCTGCATTGATGTTTTCGTAATTTTTTCCGTGCGTAAAATAGATACGAGCCAGTTTTTCTTAAAAGTCCTCCATTAAGGCATCCCTCTTCTTAGGCGGGTAGCCCTTCAGGGATCTGTCATAATTACCTAAACCAAACCAAATTATTTTATATTCCCAGTTTCTTCGACTATTATAACTGAGAGAAAGTCTACATTCTAATATTATCAAATCCAGCTGAGAGTAGGAGTCCAAATAAATTAAGGAAACAAAATAAAATGGCAGTGTGTTTATTAATCAAATGATACTGATATGAAAACGGTTTATTCCTAGGTATCTTTTAGATAAATATAGAGGTGGTAGTTCCTGTATATTACAAAATTAAGCTACGATTTCAAAAATTATGCTACCTGTTTAAATGCTTGTTTAGAGTTAAAAAACTTATTACAGGTTAAAGAAATAGGAAAGAGGCAATTTTTTCGCATACGTATTAAGATTAACTTTATCCATTTTCTTCAGTCATTATAGTAATGCAGGAAAGCATCGATCGGTTAAAGTAATAAAAATGAAAATGGTGGTTGTTACCTTGAATACTATATATCGTTAGCAACTCTTACTTAAACGGTACTGCCATCTGTTTTAGACAGACTAACGACCGAATCAAGAATGTTTTTATGATAAATATCGACAATACATGGCTTTCAAGACGTAAAATGATGTTTGCCTTAATGATAATGATGTTTTTCCATTGTACATCATTTTTGCTGCAGTACTGTAGTGCTTTTTGCCCGCAATGAAACGATATTAAAGTAGTAATTTTATCGCAAGGAAAAAAAGGCATAATTTTCCGGCCAATTGGACGATAAATCGTGAAATATTGCTGTCTAAGTCGATATACGTTAAGCATTTGGCGAATATTCTCAAAACTTCGCAGCCAAGGATTGCACTAATTGTTCCATACTCGAGGCACCACATCATACTAACAGCACATAACTAGATAAGCATAGTATCATATAAGTTTTTAATGTGGGACACATTTCCAAACTCGCAAAACGTTCGTAATTTTATTACTAAGCTGCATTAAATCAAGATTTCCATTTAAGTGGAGGGATTTTTACTGGATTATATTGCGTGTGATTGCATTTTATTTAATGTAATGTCTGCTGTCATGTAATATCTTTAAATTAAGAAAAATACGTCAACAGGTATTGCAATTATTTAAAAAATCTAAAAATATCTTAAAAATAATTCATGACTTAAAAACAAAATTTAGAAACAAATAATAAAAATAACAAATTGAAAATCAGACATATTTAATATTTGTGAAATCCTTAAATTTAAAATTCGAAAAGGTAATCGTGGAAATTTGCCTCGAGATAAAATTACTACCTTAATTAATCAATAAAAAATAATATTAAAAAACCGCAAAATAAACGTAACCTATGAAATTTGCTTGGGATATTTTGTGGGCTTTATGAATGAACATGAAGGTATTATTATTATTATGAATATTCTCTGCTGCTAAACAAACTGCTTGCATGCACTGAGTAAAAGTTAACTAAAGCAGATGTAGAGAGGTAATCAGATCCAGTGGCTCGTTTCCTTCTGTTATACCTTTGGTGTGTTGGTGTATTTAATTATGGCAAAGCACACTAGGGCTATCTGCCTAAGGGGAGGGATGCCTTTCGTGGAGGACTTTCTAAGGGAAACTGGCTCGTATACACGTTACACATGGGGAAAACCACGAAAACGCCCATGCAGCCAGCCCGTTCGCGGGATTCGAACCTCGGACCGAACTACCAGTGTTCAGCGACTTTACCGCTCGGCCGCTGGTGGGCCTGTTATACCTTTGAATAATATGTTTGGTTCACAAAACTTTTAAATTCGAAAAGTCAATCAGTTAATTTATTCCTATTTCTCAGAAATGATTGAAATTCTCATTCTCATTAATACCAGATGTTTGGCATATGAAAAATGTCCAAACACCTCAAACATTACTATTACATTAAATTAACATACTGTAATCCTTTTTTCAAATTTTGTCATAAATTTACTACAGTTAAGTGAATACAAGTAATAAAAAATTTCACATTTACTCAAGGTTAATACTAAAAATAATTTTAGAATGTGTAATACGTAATTTTACACATGTGCGTGTGATACGTAACATGCATGAGATCTCTCTCTCTGTATATATATATATATATATTAAATAGCTAGTTTTGTGCGTGTAGTGTAAAGCGAAATCTCTCTCTCTCTCTCTGTGTAGAAAAGAAAGATTGGTCAGTATTTTTTTTAATGGCCGGGTACTTTATTTAATAGCCATTAGCCTTGCGCTACTACAAGGGCCGGAAGTGGTAGCCATTTCATTTTTTTATATAGAAGCACATAATTAGGTGGCCATCGTTAGGTCGGAGGTCCATGCGACGGCGTTTCGGTTACTAACCACTACACCTGCTGGGCGGCAAATAATTCGGTATAATGATTTTTCATGATTTAATATATTTTTGGGATTAGTTTCAGTAAATCAGTTACGCAGTCGTAAAAGAGGTATGGAAGATATGTTTTATTTGAGTGATTTATTAATCTGCTTGGCATAGCCTACATTCCGGTTGAAAATTATATTTAAATTTCCTTTTATTAATTTTAATATTTAATAAATTTCTAATTCATTTTCTTAATCAGTTACACTTTAATCTCTTTGTTCGACATAACATTTACTTTAACAGTATATTTTCCCTGTTATTAAAATAGGATGACTAAAACAATTTTGTCCGTCTATTTTAAAATTAAAGGAGCTTTCAATAGAAAATTACGACATCCAATTACTTACATAGCTACTTACAAATTGGTGCTAAGAAAATGAGAATATATTTACATATGCTCATGGATATTGAATGTATACAATGAGATTAATAACAACATTGTCTTCTTTTATTTTGACTCATAAAATGTTTCGTTTTATTTTTAAACATGCTAGTTACTACTATAAGAGATAATACTTTATTTATCAACTGCAATACTAAGAGTGCCGAAATTATTTTAAAATCTTGGCTGAATCCGTTATAATACATTCAGGAGTAAAATAAATGCAGCTCATTTCAAAGTAATCTTGCATTCCAAAAAGCATGATAATATAAAAAAATCAAATTATTAAAGTAGTTTGTTTCACTTATCAATTTTTGCAACAAAAACAATTTTGCACGATCGTCAAGCGAAGCAGATCGGACATACATAAGGATAGTTGGGGATTTAACTGAACAGCCATTCTATTGTCCACTCCTGTTGTACAATCATGCAAACTGCAAAGTCGCAAAAGTCACATATCGGTCATCTCCTAATTAAATAAAATATTACATTTGACATCTGGAACCAATGGCAACGAAGGTGTTTGAATTTCCTATAATAGCGTCCGATTTGGCAGTGTCCTTAGAGTAATATAAAGGTCAGGCAATTACGTACGTACTCATCACAGATAGAGCTTCTTCTTTAAACTGTCATATAAGATGATACACCGAGGTCCATTCTAAGAAGGACGGATGAGATCTTTGATTATGAAGTATCGTAAATAATTTAACGAAATATTTAAGACATTATGTAACTTACCGCATAATGCCAACACAGGGAATCTGGTAAGCTTTTCGTTTTTGGATTTTATCGCATATATATATTGCAACTTATTTATTATTGACAAAAGTGAAGTTTTGTGGCTATCATATTTCACGCTTTTCCAACTTGTAAACATTTCATTTGAATTCATATGTTTTCAGTTATTTTCATAATAAACTGAGTTGTTTCCATAACATCATATATCAATACGGAATACGTTCCACTGCTAGTGAGTATATATTTATAGCATTTTAAATAAAATTGCGGCGAAATAAGATACTTAATAAAGTGTTTTACGTATTACCATTTTACAAGAAGTAAATAAAAGGTATTATACTATTATACAAAAAAGCATCAATAAACATGAAATAAAAGTAAAAGAAATGTCAATGTAATGTAGTTTAAATTAGTAGATAAATAGTAGTAAAACCCATCCTCATTTTTAATTTATTATTTTAATATACTCTGTTTAATATATTATTCCGTTTAACAAATTAAAGCATCGAAAGGTATGATATTAAAATTGCTTACCTCTTCCCTGAACTTTTTGATATTATCACCTTTCTGCAATTAAAATAAGTCAGTTAACATCATTGCAATAAAATTAGTTTACATTTAAACTACTTAAGTTTTATTGTGCAATTGCAAACTCTATTTAAATATTTCGAGTACACTGACATATAGGATTGTAGAACTTTTAAAAGGTACAAAAAATACGAAGTAAAGCTGTGAGGTTTAAACTCTTAATGATTCTTTTCCTTAATCTTAAGTATTAAATTTTACTTTAATGTCTAAACACTATTCCTAAACAGTTATATCAGTTCATCATTTTCAAAAATAAGTTAAAAAACAATTACCTTTCCGATGATACTTCCAACTTCCTGTGAAAGAAAAAAAAAAGAATAATTAATCGAAAGACGCATTAAGCTACTCTTAGCACTTTATTCGTTAGTTTACAAAAATAATCAAAGAATTACCTACAAATCAAGTTTTAGTAATCTTTCTGAGAGATGTAAAAAGCAAAAACAAATTAAGGAATTTACTTTGCAAGAGGCGATTATGGGATTTACTTTGAGTTTAATCAAATTTATTTAAGAATGATTAACCGCAGAAAGCGATCGTATTCGTAGATTACTTTTGATTTACGTTACTTAACAAAGCAGTTTATAAAATTTATTTGTTTTTGTTCATAAGCTGTAATTAAAAAATCAGTGAAAACCAGCTTTTAAACTACAGGATACCATTATTTTAATGCATTTTGCGTGGTTTGTTGATTAGAACACATCACCATGCTTGTCATTTCTACGTCATATGCTCTTGATGTAAGGAAAAGTATGATGATCTTGATCTGAGAGATGTGATCTATCTGATCAAGATCATCATACTTTATGATTCTTTACATATGATCATACTTTATGATTCTTTACATTTATCCATATGATATGGGTCCCAGACTTAAAACAAAATACAAAAGTTCACTGCAAACTTAGATAATTCAAAGAATACTAAGTAGTTACGTTAAAGACCACGAGGGCTACTTGCTTAAAGACGGTGCGTTCCTGGATGATTTCCTTAGGAAAACGTTGTTGTATTTTTGATACATACGGGGGGGGGAGGTAAACCACAAATCTAATTAGGCTATAAGGTATTTCTCCCTCTTTCCTAGCGTGCCTTCGTGGTGTAGTGGTTCTGCACGCTGGGCCCGGTATTCTAGAGGTCCGTGGTTCGATTTCCGGCGAATGTGATTGCTCATTTTTCATCTTGCCTGCTTCCCAAAAAATGCCTAATGTCTCTACAGTGGCGTTCGAACTAAAAAGATGTTGGATGAGGTTTCTCCACACTTAGGATGTGGCGATTGGATCCCCTGAAAACCCTAGTCGCCCTTTATAAAGGGGAGTATATAAGGTTTTCTCCCACTTTCCGCGGTTCGAGTCCCGGCGAAGGCGTTGTTAATTTTTCATCTTTCCTGCTTCCAGAATACCTAATGTCTCTACGGTGGCGCCCGAACTAAAAAGGGTGTTGGATATTCTCCTCACCCAGGATTTGGCAATTGGGTCCCCTAAAAAAAACCCAGTCGCCCTTTTAAAGAGAGAGTATATAAGGTATTTCTCCCACCTTCCTAGCGTGCCTTCGTGGTGTAGTGATTCTGCACGCTGGGCCCGATATTCCAGCAGTCCGTGGTTCGATTCCCGGTGAAAGCAATTCCTCATTTTTTTATCTTGCCTGCTTCCGAAAAAATACCTAATGTCTTTACAAGGTAGCTAATTTGCTTCTGACCTGACCTGTGTTTCTCTTGTGCACTTCAAAGAGTTAAAAATAAATATTTTGAAACTAATTTTTATTTTATTACCGCATAATTTTATGCTTCTTCTCGTTTTTTCAAGAGGAAATGCCTTTTTCATTATTGCAATTTCTAGACTCTTACGTCACTGAAATTTTCTAACATTATTTGGGGAAATTTTAATAAATCTTTCACTGTAAATAATTTGCAAAGAATATATTAGTGTTTTAGATTTGAACTATTTATTGTGTGTCACTTCAGAGAAATTCATTATCCGACGATAACATGCAGAATTATATAAAAGGATTTAGTAACCGGCTAAAAGATCCTTAAAATCAGCTTAAATAATGGGTGCTTCTAAAATTCAGATACGGTCGATGGACATGGAAAGCTATCAAATCTCTAATTGTTAAAAAGTAAGAATCCATTGTTAATTACACCTCAGCGTAAAATGCCATCGGGAAGAATTAGCATCATATAATTAATAATTGATCTTAATACTGGATCTGAAGCAAATGATCTTTCGTATTAAGAAATATGAAAAAAACCTCAAGTAGAGTATCTAATTATCTCCTACATCTGTATAGTAAAACTTCGGTTAACAAGCTTTGCTTAATCCTAACCGAAATAGTGGATAGAAACAATGCTCCAGTCAGTAAATCTGTACATCAGTTATTATTAAATAGTTAAAAGAAGTTTTTTTTTAATTTTTCGTTAGTTAAAGGTAAAAATATGTCACATAACAAAACAAAGTGGCTTAGTGTGCTTTATGCCAAAATAATGAGTCTTGAAGCAAATCTCTCTCTAAGTGATCCTTTAAGCATTTTCAATGACAGAATTTTTATATTAAAACTTAAGTTCTACTAAAAAGGGTTAGCTGAAAATTTCTATTCAACCAAATACTAAATCATGAAAGTTCCTTATGTATTATTTAACAATTTTTCTTGAATACCAATTCTTATCATTTCCTTTATGTGATTTAAACGGAAATAAAAAGTTTCCGAGGGAGATTTTGAAGCTTATTTTATGTAAAATGCGCTCAAAAGAAATATTATTACCTGAAAGGATATGCTTCGCCCCCTGTGAAACTAAACAAATAACTACATTGCTGTATAAAGTATTTTCTACCTCTTTTCCTCATGCCTTCGAGGTGTAATTGGAAGCATACTAGACTCGGATTCGAGAGGTTTGAGCCTTGGTAAGGGTATTACACATTTTTCATGTCTCCTGCTTCAAAAGGTCTAATGATCCTACATTTGTACCACAGGCAAAGGCCAAATCAGAACTAAAAATGATCAATCACAGTTCAAATAATACATTACGTAGATGAATTTTCAATAAAGATACGTAAAGTTTGTAAAGGTAAATACGTAGCTGAATAATGTTATATGCATTTTATTTCCGTTTTAGAATGCGAAAAATTGTTACCGTTGGTTATATAAATAGTGTTTTACGAAATGGCTCTAAGCCAGTTAGATCTGATAAACAGCTTCTGTTCTACATGAGTATTCAGAGCAGAAGCCAGACATCTAGCAATTTCTACAGATGTAGTGAAGTCTAGATTAACCAAAAGATTGGTTATACAAACTCGCTAAAAGAAACTCTATTTTGACATATGCCAGGGAAGATTTCGGGAAACGTCTGTAAATAAAATATTGGTGTGATGAATGAATTTCAGTTGTTTTTTTAATTATTGTTCCCATAGTGGTTTGTAATTTGGTTCATGCATTTCTCAAAAGATTTATAACTTTTTTTTTGATTGACATGTTCTACGCTGCGCTTGTCGCACTTATTTGATGCTTGTTTATTTCATGAATCTGTTTCTATCTCTGGATCTTAATGAAAAGGGGCTTGTGAGTGTTGTGCTTTAATCTAAAGAAATGATAATAACTGAAAGCTGTTTAAAAATGGTTAAATGGAAAAGAGAATTAGCCAAGAACTGAACCAAAAAATATTAGAAGTTATTGGTATTGCAAATTTTTTGGTTGATTTTGCTTTAAAAATGTGTTATAGAAATAAATTAAGTAATGTTGGAAAGCAAAGCTCTAGTTGGTTAAAATAAATAATGTACTATAAATAGTTCTCCAAAATAAATACTTTACTTGAAACAGTCATTATTTAAAGTATAAAAATCAATTATCTAGATAATCTAGGCTCGATTGTATTGTATTAAAAATTAAATGAAATTACATATGTAAAATTTTATTCTTAAAGCAGAAGCATTCTCAGAGTTTAGAAGTACCGCGCATCGAACTTAAGGGTAGGCAGCATAAATACACTTCTAGCAAAACTCTAATCAAACCTATAAATAAAATTTTACTTCTAAATATGTATTAGAAACTCAAGGAATGATTGAAAATTTGCAGTAGATACCACGAAATAAATAAGCTGATATTTTTCAAATGCAACGGTTTGAAAGAAAATTGTTTGTACGAATCAAGATGTAGAGTCATTGGAATTTTTGAAGCAGGAGACGTGAGAAAAGAGCAATGCCCTCGCCGGGACTCGAACCTGGACCTCTCGAATATGCGCCGAGTGTGCTACCATTACACCACGAAGGCATGCAGATAGGAGGAAGAAAATATCTTATAAACAAATTTTAAATTTAAATGATTTCATTAGTTTTTAACACTCTGATATTGTTATGCCCATTATTATTGAACATTGTATATTCACATAATTTCACATTGCATATGCATGTTATTATTTGCTAGTCAAGCCTCCCGGGCTCTTTAAACATAAAAATTATGTACAGAATAGGTTCTAGTTATGTTTTAAGATGGAAATCGAAGTTAAAGTTATTAGCTTGTTAACTCAGTAGTAAAAGCTTGATCATCTAGTTACTCAAAGGTTTAATTTACTCAAAAGATTATAAAAATTTAACATATGGGATGCGTTTAAATTTGCTAGCCAATTTTTATTGAAATTTTCGAAATATCACTTATAATTGAACAGAAAGAAATTAAGACATATTTATGAATATTTTAGTGAAATGTAATCTAAATTTATAGGGAATTTATCCCGCAGTAAAAATACAGAACATTTCCGAAAAGTTTAAAGAGTATTGTTTTGCCAAAACTAATTTATTTAAAGTATACAAACGAGTGATAACTGGCTGCAGTACGCTATAAAAAGTCACATGTGGAGTTTCTGAAATAAAAGAGTTAAGTCTGCTATAGAAATTTTCTAAAACTTCCAAGATCTATTTCTTTAGCATTTTTGAAAAGCATGTATTTTTAGGGAACATGAAGCGACTACGATAAAAAATGTACTTCAAGCCACTGAACTATGGTATGATGTATAGAAACATAAATTTCTCAGTGAAAAGCATAAAATTGTATTTATCTTAATGTTAGTTAATTGTGGAGCGAAGTTTAGAATTTCGGATGGAGTAGGAAAACTTAGGGGTGTTCGTAAATTTTTAGAATCAGTTAATGAAATAATGAGTTCTTTTACTTTAGTTTGTAATTAAGAAAAGTGTTTGGTATTGCATTAGGTATGATGATAATTTTATATAAATTATTTATTCAAAATGTTACAGCTGAATTCATGTTTTCTCTAAGTTTTAAAAAATTTCATTTGTTAAAGAGTTTAGTGTTG